CAATATTATCGTTTATCGCAATAAATTTTGAGACAATTAATCGCCCAGCAAAATTTGTTATCGTGACAGGCCTATCCCTGGCATACGCCCACATCATTTCCTGCCCTTTCTATATGGATGGGTATCACACTACCGTCCATCAAATCTTCTCCTTCACATACACTTCCTGTCATTGTTCCTTCTCTCTTCCTCTTTCCCTTGTCCCCCTTTGTAATTATAATATGGCAGAAGCCGTGTTGCCTGTCAGCCAGCCATTGGCTGTTTGACATTGAGGGTGAAAAAGAAGAGGAGTTCCCGTCTTGTCCGTAGACATCGACTCGTTCTTTTTGCCTGGCGGCCTGGCGGCAGTGTTGTCGGCGGTGGTGGCTGTGCATCCGTGTCAGCACCTGCGCTGTATCCTTTCCTGTCCATCACTGTGCAGGTGAAGCAGATGATTGGATTCAGTCAGTGGGGTGATTAATGAGGGCCCCTCTGGATTTGGGACAGCCTATCAATCATGTCATTAGGGCCAATGTGCCCTGAAAGAGGCAGACCTCCGCCAAGGAATAACTGCATTCATCTTCATCTGTGTATGCATCCCGTCAGCCCAGCCAGGGTCACCATGATGGAGAACAATAATCTTCTCCTCTACAAATTACTTTGCAAAGACAAGGTGGGTGACGCAACGACGAGGGTTACAGTTGGTAAAGGAAAAAGGGAAAGTGAGATGAAAGAACAGATTAAAGCTCACACAAGGGGCAAATGTATTTTGTCAAAGGTTTTACTCTGCCATGTGATGCCAGCAAAATAAAAAAGTGCCAGTTGTTTTTGGAGTTATTAAATCCACGGCTCTCTCTGTGTGACACTGTACTCTGATTGTTTACAAGTCAGGCGTCACTTCCCTGTGAAGGTTAGTTTAATGAATAGTAATGATCCTACTGAATGCCTCCGACAGGTGATACATAATCACTCTTCTTTCATTTTTTCCACTCAACCCCCCCTCAACAGCTTTCCACTGTCCCATCTGTTCTCTTGATCTCTCTTCTTGTTGCTGTAAAACACAGCTCTTCCTAGAACTGGTTGCCGCTTAGTCAACGTTTTGATCCATTTTTTTTAAAGTTGTTACACAATTCAATCAACTTTTCACAAGAGCGAACGCATCCAGGGTTTGTTTGTCATGATGAAGTGAGCAACCAGAGATGCCATTTCTGGGAATGAGCAACAAAACACAACGCCAAAGGTCATCGATGAACTTAAAATGAAAGCTGTTTTCCCATCATTCCAGGCTGCAGACCTCTCAGTCAAATGGCATGCCCATCACACCACTTACCACAGCACACATTTGAGATTCATTTATTTTACTCAGAGCTTTTAAATGAAGAATTAGCTTGACGACACTATACATCAGACCTTGAACACTCAATTAAAAAAGCCAGTTATGTATTATTATTTTTGGGTTACATTTTTAAAGTGTCCTTTTAATCTCAAGCAGCTAAAGGCAACATCAGTCAGGGTGATTGGTTTGAACCTTATTATTTACCAGACTGTCAGCCCTCAACCTCGATCTTAGTAATCACGAAACTGAGACAATCTGACGGCATGAAGAAGCATTTTTTGCAATTAAAATGCTCTCACTAAAATTCACTTTAATCAAAAACTTACATGAGAAAAATGATGGATGAGAAATAAAAGAGAGCAGCCCTTGCCTTGACTTCTTATTAACCATTCTGCTGCCATTGGGTTAAAATTACCCACAAGGCCTCGGTTTTAAAACAGAGACCCTTTGGGTCATTCTGACTCAAGGGCAACAGGAGGACTTATCCCTGTCTGGGGCTTCTCACCTGTCTGTGCAGAGCTTGCGAGCCTTTTGCAGCTGCATGTTCATCCACTTGGGTCTTTTTTCTTCTAGAGCCTGAAGAACTATGTGTACCGTAAGTTTGGGAACACCCTGTTGTAAATAAGATAAATAAACAAAAGCAAGGTGCACATCAAATCAATCATAAGTACACTATCTGTGAATCAATGATACATCAAAGGAAGCACACAAGCCAGGATGTACAAGTCACTGCAATGATGTTAAAATAAAAAATAAAAATTAAATTAAACTGCAGAATTGTTTTCAAGAATCTTATTTTCGATTATCAACAGACATTTACCTTTTGCTGAATGCTCAATGCAGCCTGTAGACACTCCGCAAGCAGATGGAGGCCATCCTTTGCCCCACCATCCAGAGTCAGACCACTGATCTGCTCAAGAGTGTTTGTTTCCTCCAGGCCCTGAATCAAGCAGCCCAGCAGGGCCCAGAGCAACAGGCCCACTGAGCGCAGCTGCCGGGAATGCTGAGAGAGGTGCTTTTCTGCCACTTGAAAAAGAAAGCGAATGGAGAGAGGCAAGGATGCTACAACCGAAGGCAGGTTGGTGAAAACAAAAGACAGTCCTTGGATTGCAAAAGATATGGTACCTGGTGGAAAGAAGAAACACAAGGTTTGGAAAACAAAACTAGAATGTTGTTATTAGTGTTCATAAATGTGACAGAGTTTGTGCTTACTCCCACTGACAGTGTCTTTTCCCCTTCCTTCGAGTATTTTAACATCCCAGTCCTTGGGTATTTTAGCCATGATGCTTTCTGGCACACTTTCTTTGAACAGGGTTCCTTTGGACTCATCTGTGGCCTGCCAACTGAGCACCATGGACACCAGGTGAACCAAAATGCTATTGGTTGACTTTGTTACCACTTCTCTGACACACTTGACCACCACTGGTACCGTCTGTGTTGTGTCTTTTAGATGATAGCAAAAAAGAGGCAAAAAATACCAAGTCAAAAAAAGACAAGTAAAACCTTATGTCATGTACTGAAGGAAATTTATCCTGTTTATCACTGATTTTTAATGCATTACACTTTTTTATGTATCCATTCATTATCTTTACCAACTATAATTTTTCTCTTTTCAGATCACAGGAAAGCTGGTCCCAGATGATCCCCATAGGTCATTTTGCAAGAGGCGGTGTACATCCAGACAAATGAGACAAACAACCATTCGCACTCTCACACACATTTAGGAATAATTTACAGATACAAATTAACCTACCATGCAGACAGAAATTCATACCTAGAGAGCGGGAGAGGGAGAGAGAGAGGAGGAGGGGAGAGAGAGGGGGGGGGAGAGAGAGAGAGAGAGAGAGAGAGAGAGAGAGAGA